TCAAGCGCGGGTTCAGTGTCCGGTTTTTGTACTTGAAACCCAAATTACGCAGTTCCCGAAATACCGAAATACCGCCCAGCCTCCCACAGTGGGTTGTTTTCGGGCTGTCTTGGGTTTATTTTTGGCTTTCAGCGAAAGTACCGCTAGGTCTTACGACGAGTGCGCAAGTGGGCCGAAAATCCCGAAAACCCGCCCGTGATGTCACTGCCGGTTCAGCTGGTTTTTTGTTTAAACAGTGAGAAATAATATATCAAGTCAAGGTATTAATCAAAAATTTAAAAAAAAAATTTTTTTTTTTATTTGCAATAACAAAAATGCAGGACAACTTTGGATAACTTTAAGAACTTCTAATATTAGATTAAACAGTATGTTTTTTAACTAAAGAACCGTATTCTCCAAGTGCACTTTAGTTGATTTTCGGGTAGCCCCTCGAAATCTGATGATTAACGCTGGCAGTTTGAACTTCGAATTGCTCACGTCAAAAGGTGTTGCATAAGAGGAGCACGCCGTTGATTGACCCTCTCTGACCGATTAGTCTCAGTTTTTAAATTTTGAATTTAAACAGATCTTGCCAAGATTTTGGACATGTGCCGATAGGGTTATAAAGAAATCATTAGCCGCTGACATTGTTTTTGATCCGTTTTATAACGCTTTGTTTTTCAGCTATATTAACGCTTTAGAGACCTTTTTTGTGCATTTTAAAAATATACCATTCAAATAACGAATATTTTATTGACAAATAAATGTTATTTGTGAGAAACGTGAAAATAATAATCAATATATAAATAATATAAATAAAATCATTATATCAATATGTATCAAAGATGTCTTATATTGTCAACACAGCTTTTTCAAATATCATACTTGCAGTCTTAAATATAAATTCATGACAATCAACTAAAATATTATTTTGCTCTGATGACCTTACATATTCCCGAAAATTAATTAGCAATATCAATGTGCACATTACCAAAACGATTCCAAATAAGGGACAGTTGCTCGCGGAAAGTTTCCAGAGGAGAAGGAGCTGGGGCTAACCGAACCAGTTTCGTTTAAATTATGCTCGTTAATCATCTTCGATCAGCATTTAAAAATCAATAAAGCCCGCAAATTATTGTGCGAAAACTCGATTCGGGAGGAGACAATGACTGCCCCTTCGAATGACATCACACGGCACCTCTGACTTACTTCGAGCACTTACGCACTCGATCGTCTGAGGGGGCTTGAACCTAAAAATAATTCGGGTAATACAGTTTTTGGACATTCCGGTTTTCCCTCTGTTTTCTTAAAATATCAGATCGATCAAGTGTACGGGACTTGATGAGTGTCAAATATAATTGGAATGAACTTTGAAATTTATCAGCCCTTAAAAAGCATCACAGTGTTGTATTTATACACCTGTATTTCTTAAAAATCATTTAAGAATATTCCATAAAATTGGAAATCTACGTATTAGTTGTTTATACACACCAGACTTATTGTTTTGGTTAAAATATTTTTTATTTAAATAAAAAAAATTCTATAATATTATTTATAAATTATTTTTTTATTTATTAATTTTTCAATCGAGTTTTTCACTCACTTTCATAAAGGCTTTTCTGAAGATCGGTACCAGCGTCACTCTGATCCTTCAATGTCTTCTCGGGGACCGATCTTCGTGTAGATTCCTGTATTATTGGCTAATTTTTAAATGAAGGAAATAGTTTTTTAGTGTTTAATTAATAACATTTTCCAATGGCTTTTTGATCCTTTGCTAAAATCATTACAATTAATTAAACAAATTCCTAGTGAAAAATATTGTAGAAAGTGGATTGTCCCAAATTTCTGATCCCCCCAACCTGCACACCTCTGGAATAGAAATGGAGGTAATTATATACATGCAGTTTTTAAATTACCATTTAAATTTTAATATGAAATTAGAATTCGCCATACAAAAATAACTAAACCTTCTTCTTTGCCCTCCTCCTGTAACTTTTTTTGAGATTGTGCTTCTGCTTGGTTCTGCGTATTTGCCTCCTCCATGTCCGCTTTGTATCCGCTTCCTTTCTAACTATGTTGGCTTTAATTTTCTTTTCAGTCTCCACGATGAAATCGGTCACCTTGTTGATGTTCGTGTAGAGCCCCGGCTGGTCGGTGTACCTGCATCGAGGTCCAATAGAGACCACTCCGCAGAGTTCCCTGCCGAAGGTTAGCGGGGATCCGGCGTCATAGCGGCACTTCTTCGGATCCCGCGGATGGGTCACACAGAAGGAGGTGCTCGAGAACCGGATGGGGGTGTCCGAGTACTTCTTGAGACACGACTTCGGGTCCTCGACGCGCACGGAACCATTCTTCACGTCCGTGTTCTGCGGCCCGTTCTCTATGGCGTCGAACCCCCAGCCGTAGGACGTCATATACATCCCGGGCACAATGGTCGTGTTGCAGAGCTTTATGAACTCGGTCGTCTTGCCCTTCACGTAGTCCCTCAGATAGATCACGGCAATGTCCATATACGGCTTGGAGGTTACGAATCGGGGCGGGGTATACACGTTATCGATCATCACGTAGATCTCGTCGTTGGTGAATGTGGGCTCAACGCTGGTGCCTTCCAGATCGTAGCGATACGGATGGATGCAGTTCGCCGAGGCAATCATCAAAAGAGGAGCGTAGTAGGATGCTCCGCAGATGGGTCCTAGTCCCGGATCGGCGTGCGATATGTAGAACAGCCAGCCGCCGAAGTTTCGGCCCGTGCTCGATCCCGGACCTTCCCACCAACGCCGCCACTTCTGGGTCTTACTATTGATCTGGTATTTGTAAATCTTGCTCCACGACGGGACTACAAGTAACGCCCAAAGAAACACCCGCCACATTGCTCTTTCATTTCGAACTAAGAGCTTAGATGATTTCAGATTCAGATCGCAAAGCGAGGAGAATTCCCGTGTCCAACAGCTTAGTTCTGCCCTAATCCGTAATCTCTAACTATAAAAGGCGACTCATTCTTAACGGGAAGTTGAAGCAGCAGCAAAAACAGTTGGATATAGAAAACTAAAATAAAAAACCGAAATTCGGAAATAATTTTAAGAAGGATCTAAGTGCCAACAAAGGTGAAGACTCAGGCATAATTGTTTTTTCCTTTATTAATAAAATTAAATTTATTTTAGCGCAGATCCACGGGTGAAATGGGTGATATATCACCCTCCACTCGGTTGAAAAATGAAAGGAATTTTGGTATTCAAAGAGTATGCGTCAAATTGTCAGTTCTACCAATCAAATAGTTACTTTCACAACAACAAACACACACAATTAGCAACGACACACACCTATTTAATTGGTAGAATTTAACATTTTTGTAGATGGGGACTGTTTGACAATTAACTTGGTTAATTTTACCAAGTTTTTGTTTTATGTGTATGCTTTTTTCTTCTGTGCCTCCGACGATTTTTATATTTATTGTAAAATCTTCTACGATTTGACCTATCGGGTGCCCTTATGTGCTTATGTTGGACTTTATGTTCGATACCCTTGATGAACCAGGCCACCTTGTTGATGTCCGTGTAGATTCCTGGCTGATTGGGGTAGCCGCACATTGGTCCATGGGAGACCACTCCGCAGAGTTCCCTGCCGTAGGTTAGAGGACATCCCCCATCGTAGCGGCACTCCCTCGGATTCCGCGGATGGGTCACGCAGAAGGCAGTGCTCGATACTTCAAAGTCCGAGCCCCGAAACTTGGCCATGCACTTAATCCTGTTCTCGACGGGAACAATGGCAGCTTTCGTGTCCGAACTCTCCAATCCCACGTAATGTGAGTCAATGCCCCAGGCGTAGGCTGTCATCTTCATGTCTTCCCTGATGGTCCTGTTGCAGAGCTTTATGAACTCGGCCTTGAACGACGAAAAGGGCTGCTCCAGTCGGATGATCGCTATATCCTCGTAACTCTTAAAGTATGAAAAGTGCTTGGGGATGTACACGTGGTCGATGGTGCCAAAGTAATTTTCATTGTCGAAGGCGGGCTCCACACTGGTTCCATGGAGATCGTAGCGATACGGTTGGATGCAGGTCGCCGAGGTAATCAAGAGATAGGGCGAGTAGTAGGACGCCCCGCAAATGGGTCCTATCGGCGACCCATGATGAATCCGAAACAACCAGCCGCCAAGGTCGTGGCTCTTGTTGGGCATTGGACCTCTCCACCATCGCTTGTTGGGCTGGGTCATGCTGTTTATGGCGTTTTGGTATACGAAGCTCCGCGTGGAAAGGGGCCACAAGTCCGAAAGGAACAGAACAAACAGAAAGATCTTCTTCATTGGTCTTTCATTTCGAACTGGGAGCTTTGGTATTCCAGGTTTACCTGGACAAAGCGGGCGTAATTCGCATGACCATCTGGTTTCGATGTGCCTAATCGCATTTACATTATTTAATTGAGGTATTGAAAATTGTTACAAACTAGTTACAATAACTTCCTTTAAAATAAATTTAGTAAATACGTTATTTCCCAACAATGACAATCTTTTGTTTCACTGTATATTTTTTGTTTTTTCAATTAGAACTCTAATATCCAAAGTATAAAACTTTTAACTTTAAGCTAAGACACCATATGGTCTTATGATTGGTCTTAGTACATTCAAGTCGATCTTATTGAAGTCCGTGTACAGTCTTTATACTTGTCAATTATCACTACCGAGACGATCTCGTCATATCTGTCTGGCAGCCTCTAAAATACCCTCTTTAATTACAAGACTGCCAAAATACCTTTTAGTTCAGAGTTTTCAGTTTTTTTTACTTTTTAGTTTGTTTTTTTTTAATCTTAAAATAACAAATTAATGGATATAGAAAGAACATTGTTGAGATTTTAGGAATTGAATTATCAAGATCAGATCAGTTTTGGAAAAGTATATGCAGTTCGGCTTAGATTCAGATAAAATAAACAATTTTCCACACTGATTTGGATTGGACATTTTCTACGCCCGCTTTATAGAGCAGCCTTAAATTGCGTACAAGTAGCTTTCTACTTTCACTGCATTAAAATGGGATTATCGAAGTGCTGGCTTCTGCTGGGCCTTCTGCTGAACATCTCGGGAATCTCACTGGGAAAAGTCTACCCGAGGGACATTTTCCGAAAGATCCCCCGGTCTCGACGCCTCTGGGGCGGAGTGTCCTCGAACACGGGTCCCAATTTTGGAGGCTGGCTGCTGCGTATCCTGAACAGTGATGGGAACTTTGTGTGCGGGGGAGCCTACTACTCTCCGCTAATTGTGATCACCTCAGGCAACTGCATATATCCGTATCGGAATAGTATGGAAGGACTCACGGTGGAGGGCACCGCGTTTTCCAAGTGCGACAAGGAGAACATTGCTGAGATCGATACCATTCAGTTTCCCGAGAGATTTGTCTACCGGAAACTCTACATGGACGTGGCCCTGGTGAGGCTAAGGGATCCGATCAAGGGTCGACTCACGGAGTTTATAAGGCTGTGCAATAGGAAAATTCGACCGGGCATGCGGATGGTGGTCTTTGGCTGGGGTTACGACAGTGTAATCGTGCAGCCACCCTCTTCGGATCCCCGCAACTCTTCAGTCATGATTATATCGACAAAGGAATGCCGCAAAAGATTCAAAAAGGACCTGAGGCTATCGAGTACTTCGGTCTGTGTAAGGCAACCCAAGAATCCCAGGCAATGCCTTTACGACGGCGGCAGTCCGATGATCTACAACAGGGAACTTTGCGGAGTTGTGTCCTTTGGTTCCCACTGCCAGGACACCTCCAAGCCGGGCATGTTCACCAATATCAGGAGGGTGAAGAGGTTCATTACGGAAACCGAGGAGGGCATAAATGCCGGCTACATCTTCAGGACCGCCCAGCTCGAGAAAAAAGAACCTTTAAAAGACGACGAAGAGGAACCTCTAAAAGTCACGGAAAATACACCTCCAAAAGCTGACGAAAAAGAATCTCCAAAAGTCAACGAAAAGGAACCTCCAGATGTCACAGAAAATACATCTCCGAAAGTCAACGAAAGAGTAACTCCAAATGTCATGGAAAATACATCTCCGAAAGACAGCGAAAGTTTACCTCCAAATGTCAAAGAAATTACACCTGCAAAAGTCAAGAAAATTGTACGTCGCAGGCTCAAGAAGAAATTAGTAAAAGTAAAAAGAACGGATTCAAAACTCTTGCCAAGGACAACCACAATCGACCCGTTGGAAGCAATGGTGTGCTGAATAAATAATTTTAAAAATACAAAAATTACAAAACCGAGACTACTTTTATCTCTATTTTAAAGCCGCTTTTTATCTCGATTTCAAGAATGTTTCTTCTCAATTCCTGCAATAATATCTTTAAGAATTAAAAACATTTAATCTTTTCTTTTTTTCGTTCTCATTTATTTTGGTTTAACTAATCAAATGGGCAATTTTTTATACAAATGTTGTAATATTTGTATTCTAAATAGCTAAATGACCTTAATTCCTATAACAATATGATTAAATTTAATTTTAGAAAAAGCAATATCAAATCGATCTGTAATGGCAATTACCTCTTCGATTGAGTGTGAAATTAAATTTGCGCTGCTTTGGATAATTTTTCTGCATTTCTAGCCAGCGCAGTAAGTCTAAAGCATCGAGTAAGGCCACTTGCGGTGATGAATTTCCTCCACGAAGTCCTCCTGATACCCCTGATCCTGGGAAATGTGGAAATAGCAGCTGCCAAGTGGTGGAATTCCTCTGCCAGGTATCTGCATGCCAGGCCGCCAGTGAAAACGGTGATCAACAATGGATTACGCTTGACCGAGGGTGGACATGTGGGCTCCTGGCTGCTGAGGATCATGGATGGGAATAAGTTTGCCTGCGGAGCCTCCTACTACAGTGCTCTGTACGCAATCACCTCGGCGAACTGCATGCACAGCTATCGGTCGAAGGTTCAGTCCCTCAGCGTGGAGTTCCTAACGCCGGATGAGCAGCAGGAGGCTCCGGGAGATTCGGGTGATGCCTCCTTCGCCCTCATCCGCACTATTTTCACACCAAAAGATTGGCATTGGCCGGATACCTACATGGATGTTGCCGTGCTAAAACTGAGCCACCGCCTGCGTGGCAATCTGAAAGACTTTGTGACGCTCTGCAGCAAGCCGCTGAGTTCGTACGACCTTCTGTCGGTGGTCTCCTGTGGCGCAGGACCCACCGAGAGTGTGGGAACCGAGGGGGTAACCGTCCTGAATCGCATGGACTGCGAGTTGCAGTACGGCGGCGTCGTCCTGGGCGAAACAATCGCGTGTGCCAAGGAATTCAAGCAGAAACCGGGCTGCATGTTCAGACCAGGCTGTCCGGTGACCTCGGGCGATCAGCTCTGCGGCATCGTCGCCTGGGGTCCTGCGTGCAAGAGGCCCGGAATGCCGGGCATCTTCACCGACATCGATCAGGTGCGCCAGTTCATCCTCAGGGCGATCAGCGGCAAGGGCAGGGTCACTGGTGGCAGTCAGCACGGAAAATCCGAGGCGGACGACATCCCCGAGTGGCACTCCGGCTTCTGGTTGAGCCGATAAACTTCTGTTTCTTAAATAAAATTTCTGTCATTTCAAAATAAAAAAAAAAAATTTTTTTTTAATGCTAAACAAATTTTAATATTTTGTACATTTTTGAAAAATTAATTTAAAAAATTGTAATCCAAATGTATTAAACATTTTAAAATTTTGTAATTATTTTTTAAGAGATAAAAAGACACTTTTTAATTATTTGTTTCATTTTTAAGAGATAAAGAGATACTGCAATTGTCTGCTGGGTTATTCAAAGGCTCAGTGTCAAAAGCAAAATGCTACGTACATTTTTGGTTCGTGGCAAAATAAATAACGGTTTGAGTCTTGTCTCATTTTTAGAAGCATCATCATTTAGGGTATTGACGTAATTAAAAAATCTGAATATCTTTGACATTTCTTAGCTTTATTGAAAAGGAAATATTTAATTAAAAATAAACTTTTTTTATATACTTATATTTTATCACAATTATTTTATTTTTTAAAAATTGGCGCCAAGCAAGAGAGGAGAAACCCCCAATCTTATTCGATAGCGCGATACCAAACATCGGCATGTTTAATAAAACTTTGAAGTATGTTGCAATTAATTATTATTTAAAATTAAACTTTAAACTTTAACTTTAAGAAATGCATAGAATTTATCTGAAGGGAATCCCGTATATATTAATATTCTTTATTTTTTTCAAAAATATCGATATTTTTATATTTGGATATATTTTACACATCTCTAATCTCACACAAGCCCAAGGCCCAAAAACAAAAAACTAATTTCCTCGCGAAATTCAATTTAAATAAATAAAGACAACTAAAATGGACACTGTAAGGGAGCTGGTGCAATTCATGCAGCCCAATCAACGCCTGGACCTAAAGGCAGTGGCCTTAACCCATGTTTTAGGTGAGTTTCGGGGAAAATTCAAACTCCACGGCTGCACGTGCGTTTGTTTTGGGCAACTGTGACGTCACGCCACCGCTGTTTTATTTATTTATTTAAATTTTTCGGTTTTTCTAGGCTTAACCGGGAGTTCGGAGGGCAAATCGGCCATTCTATCGCTGGACGAAATGCTAATGGCCATTTTCGGACTGACCTACGATGAAAACCAAACAGTGGCCAAGGATGCAGTCCTCAGTTTGATTAATTTAACGGCCGAGGAGGAGGCTGCCGTTAAGGTTTTCCAGCTGGCCAAGCAATTGCAGCCCGTAGGTGGTTATAAAACAGGTGAAACCCTCAATTAATCTATTTACTTGGCCACCCCCAGACCTTTGCCATCGTGGAGGTGGCTGCCAAGCACATAAGCGACGAGCAATCCGATCTGGCCGATCCCTGGAGCATGGTTTTGAGCAACCTGACGCGGGTGGAGTCGCTGGTCCACGAGATTCTGGACACCCTGGAGAAGGACGAGAAGACCCTGCCCCGGCTGGCGAAGGCCTTTGCCCAGCTGGACTACAACAAGAAGAAGGGGAAGCTCCACTACCTGGCGCCCATCTTCTGCAATCTTACCCAGGTGCCGCGCGGCAGGGAGCTATGCTGCCACCGGAAGTACCAGTTGCTGGAGAAGCTGCTGCCCTTCGCCTCCTTCGAGGGCAGTGTGGTGCGGCGTGGCGGCACCATTGGCATCCTCAAGAACGTCTGCTTCGACACGGTCTACCACGAGGTGATCCTCAACGAGCAGAGCAGCATCCTGGTGGCCATCCTGCAGCCGCTCTGCGGTCCCGAGGAGTTCAGCGACGAGGACAACGAGCTGCTGCCCATCGAACTGCAGGTTAGATCTTACCTTACTAAATATTTGAATGTATTTCAATGGCTTTCCTTTGCAGTACCTTCCTGAGAGCAAAACGCGCGAAGAGGATCCGGATCTGCGGAAGATGCTGCTGGAGTGCCTGCTGCAGCTCTGCTCCACGCGTCGCAGCCGCGAGATCCTGCGCTCGAGGGGCGTTTATGAGATCCTCAGGGAATACCACAAGTGGGAGGCCAAGGTGGCCAAGGACAGCGACTGTCTGCTGGCCTGCGAGAACGTAGTGGACATCCTGATCAAGTTTGGTGATATAAAACAGCCATAAATGAGTCATTTCTTAACCAATTTGCTAACCATTCCAGAAAAGAGGAGGAGATTGGCTTGGACAACTACAAAACCGAGGTGGAAGTGCCCTCCGAGCAGGCCGAGAAGTTCGTCCAGGAAGATGCCGCCTATGTGAAGAGTTTGCTGGATTAAATCAACCAAATCCGCCGCCGTTTGTAAATATGTGTGTAGTGTTAGTGAAACTCATAGACGATATCGAACATTCAATATATGTATGCAGTTTTTTATTCAGAAATGCTGATAGTTTAGTTGGTAATGCTTCAGTTGCCCAAAAATGTTGCTCTAGAAAAAGTTGTACGCATTCAAATGCAAGGGAAACAATTTCAATTTCAATTTAGATCTTTTTTTAATTTTCAATTTGATTAGTTCAAGTAGCGTCGTTATCTAGTTTATCTAATTATCGTTAATCCTTCCCGCCGCCGCCTCAATTGTATATGTATAAAGTTCTCCTTAAGTGCTAGATACATTTGCATTCAAAAATGTTTGGCAACTGCCTTGCCATGAAACGTTTAATGTACTCTTGTGTATTTTTACAAACTTTGCTTGGTCGTTCATTGTGTGTAGAAGAGTTGAGGGCTTCGAGGGCCCCCAAAGCCAATAAGGTGCGTATTGTGTGTTACTTTTGATTAGTTTGCGTTTAGTTGCGTGGCAAGCAAGCGATTTCGGCAGAGAGAAAAACGCGAATTATCTGTTATCCGTTTCGTTCTATCGAAACCCATCCACTTGTTTATACATAGTTGTTGATTTTTCATTTGCGGAAACCATTGCAAGCTCGCTTAGTCCGAAAAACTTAGGTACCAACAATACGAAGTTCCAAACAATTTCAACTGAAAATCGTTTGCCCTTACTTCGACCCTAGCATTTAGTATTTGTTTCATTTAGTTTGGTCCTATTGGTTCTGCATTATGTGAAAATTTAGTTTCGACTTTACAACTAAGTATTTAGGCTACGCGTAATTTAGAGGGTTTTCAACTTAGTTGTTAGTGAGTGGCTTAACTTGGATAATATTTGGTTTTGTTAACTTAGAACTCTTTCCTGCATAAAGGGGCGATATACGAAAACTGCGAGTACAAATGGAAAGCCTTTAGTTTTAAATAATAAATTGAACTTATTTTTCCAGCCATCAACTTTAGTAATGATTAAAAATAACCACCGAGATAAGGAAGCTTTATGGCCAGCCAAAAATCCGATTACAAAAAGTGTCGAATTTATTTGTGATTAACAAAGAGTAAGTGAAAATAGAGCACCTATCTCGCCTCCATGCGACGGGACAGCACCTCGTAGGCGAAGATCTTGACCTCCTCGGAATCGTAGGGGATGTACAGGCAGCCGTGCGAGGGATGCACCTTGCCCACCGTCAGACTGCCGGCATGATAGCCCCTTCCGGCGTACAAAGTCTCCCCATCGACATTCTGGCCCACCTTCACGGCTCCGGGAGGCACCTCGCCGTTCTCCGCCGACAGCCACTCGTAGTTGTGGCCACTCAGCACCTCGTAGTTCTCCAGCTCCACCTCCTGGTTGGCGTAGGCCACGTAGGCCTTGCCCTTGTTCGGGATGATCTTGGCCGGCAGCATGTCGTTGCAGTAGAAGGCGCGCCCGATGAAGATGGTGTCGCCATCGGAATCGTGGCCAGCGACCACGGCTGCCTGGGGAATTGCTCCGTGGCTGTAGTGAAGCCAAGTGTTGCCTGAAAGCCAGGGGAATTGTTACTGGAGTAACTGAAGAATTGAAGAGTGAGATGCCTTTCTTACCGTCCATTTCGATTGAGCTGCTAGAATGTACTGAACAGTTCCAATCGAAGACGGTATTTCTTTTCTCGGCGATACCTTATCGGGTTATCTGGGTGAGATAACCAATCTGCCGGTGAATCAACCGCACCAGACCGGCGGTAATTTTAGTAGTTGGGTGTCTACATTCAGAAGTCCATATAGCAACGAATTGTGTCATTTATGACCCATGTTTATGACTTGATTTAAGACTTAGCAGGGCCGGAATGGCTGGATGTTTGAAATGAATAATAAGAAAATAGTTTAACCAATTCCAAGTAAGGCGATTAATCTATTTGTTGGTTGATAATGACTGAAGAAATATAAATAAATATTTGTAGCTCGCAGTTTTCGTTGCTAAGTGTACCCACTAATTCATTTACACATAATTACTTTTAATTTGCCTAAAATTCAGCATTCGTTTAACAAATAGTTAAATTTTCGTTTCGTTTATGTACAATACTCATCTAGAGAGGTGAAAAATACTTATTTATGTTAAGGTAAAACTCATCGCATATAAATCGTAAACCATTCCTGCCTTCCCTTAATAGAAACTCAGCAGCGACAGCATTTAAATTTAGAGTCTAGTTTCCTTTTTTAGGAGCTATAAATAATTGCAATTAGAATTTTAATTTGGGTTGCAGTGTTTCCTTTGATCTTCGCCACTCGAATGCTTAGCATCTAAATAGTTTCCGTTTCCGTTCGTTCGAGTTCATCAGTTATTGTTTGATAGTTGTCAAGTATTCGCTTATAAATCACATAATTGCTTGATGAATTCCATAATGTGTTTGGGTGTAACAAAGAGAGTGTGTTTGCAGCTGCTCGAGTGCGTTTACATTTGGGTGCGATCCTAGACACAGAGAGAGATTCGAAGGAAAATAAAAGGACTTCAACGCGCAGCCGAAGAAGTTCTTCCCGCCGCCTCACTTCCTTTCCTGCGATATTTCCGCCTGTTCCTCCTGCTCCGGATACTTCAGTTACAGGTATCGCTGCTGCTACCTGGTGGCAGCCACCAGGAGCACCGCCAGGCTGAGCAGGTGCCTCATCAGCGACTCCGGGTCCGCGGGACTCGCTCCCTGCCTCCTGCTTGAGTTGCAGGCGTCCGCATCACTGCAGCTCTGCAGGCAACCGTGCACGTACCTGTAAGGTAATAACAGAAAAGTAGATTAGAGAAAAATATTTTTAAAAATCAATAACGTATTCAAAAACAGAATGTTTAAAAATGCCCTTTTTAGGTTTTTTTTAGGGGTAGAAACATCTTGAAATAAACATTTCCTACTTGAAAAATGTTCTCTCTTTTATAATAGATTCTTTTTTAGCGTTTAAATAATTTAATGTCGTTGATTTAATCAGAACTAAGGGGTTATAAAAATATTTAAGATATGAATCGAACCTTTTTTGACACTACAATAAATTCTTATAAAATCAAAAGAAAGTAAGGAATTAAAACTAATTTTTTTAATTACATTTCAAAGCCATTTTTGCAGTATACATGTTCTTAATTACATTTACTTTTAAAATTGTAAAATAATGCATTAATTTGTAATCCTTACTTGTCGTCGTAATAGAACTTTCCGCAATGCGACATTCTTATAATCTCGGTATCGGTGGTCAAAGTGCCGCTGTCGAGGGCGCATCCTCTCACCGTTATCGTCTCCCCGGTGCCATCTTTAAATGAAAAGCAAGTTATTTAGTGAATGATGTCCTCTTAAAGGGTCAGAAGGGCATTCACTTACCGTAGTAGCCGGCGATCTTGATGCAGGCGGTGGCCGGAAATAGGCCGTCACGCCCCTTCCGGCCGCCCATGCAGGGTGACTCCAAAATGGCCGTCGAGTAGTTGTTGTGGAACGGATCATCGCAGGCTTTGTTGGCTCCGTTGTAGGAGACGCACTTGAAACAGTCTATGCAGTAGCCTGAAATGGGATATTATTTTATTTTTATAAATTTATCATTTAAATTTACCTTTATTACGTTAATTAATGGATAGCCTCACATATCACTTACCACTTCGAATGAAAAGGCCAAGCAGCAGGGCCAAAATGGCGACGGTTTCCATAATTGAACTGAACACCGCCATCTTCGGAGCTCTCACGACACTCACACAGGATTCGCAGGACTCACAGGTTGACCAATTGCGGACATTCCTCGGGATTCATTTCACTTCAACTTCGACTGCTGCCACTGCAAAGGGAGAAGCGAAACATCCAAAGGGATTAAAATTAACAGGCGAATTGAAGGCTCTTAAAACTTTTTCGATTTTCCGCTGAAATCTCTGGCTCAGCGCTCGAGAAGTCATAAAAAAGTTGAAAACGAAACGAGATGAAGAGTATGAACGCAGGCAATGGTCATAAAAATTATTATCCACAATCCGCAGAAATGCAATTTCCTTGGAAGGAGGCAAGAAAAATTAAAGGTAATAAATTGCACAACGCATTTTTCGACACAATACCAACGCCCCCCTGTCTGTTCGGTTTTTTGTTTTGTGTTCCATATTTTTATTGCCGAAGTGTAAATAATTGCTTTTCAGTCGATTTTCGTGTCGGTGTCTCTTTTTTTTCCTGTTGCCTGTTTGTTGTTGGCACTTTTAATGGCCACTTCGATGGCCCAAGGTGCTGTTGGGTCAACTTTTTGGGGCCAGTGTTTTTCTTTGGTTTTTGTTTTATTTCGGGTTCCTCGAATTATGACAAATGATTCTGACTTTCGGACCGAAACTGTAGCTAAGCCGGAGAAACACAATTTATGAGGGGGCAAACGACAAAAAAGCGTGTGGCTTTAAGCGATTTTGGGCGTGACTTTAAAGTATACAAAGTGGTCAAGTCAAAACCACCACCCCATTTACTATATATATTTCTATGCTTTCCACTTTCCCTGGCCGGCAATCAATTCAAGCGAATCTGTCATCTTGACAGATAAATATTATCATTGCATGGCTCGTGGCTGTGTTGGCCGGGCCAAATAGATATAGCCATCTATCAGCTGGCCGCTTTCGGATCAATATTTATTGCAAATTATGGCTCGGCCACCGCACACTTTCCGTGTGGCCCACGGGGCGTATGTGCAACATTCCGGTTAGCCGCAAGTGCTGTGCATTAATTATGCGATTTTGAGTGTTTCTGGATTTTCGGATTCTGGATGGGATGGCTGTGTGTCTCTCTGGGTGTTTGATTTGCGGTCGAAGCTGTCGAACGTTGAGTCGCTCAACTGTTCCCAGCTAATGTAATTAAGTTTCCTGATTAAAACGGCTGAAATTGCGTACGGCAAGAAAAGCACAATAAGGTGAGTTGGATGGAGGTGAAGAAATTTATAATTAAATCCCAAGGGCTCCCATCGACACATCGAACAGTCTACTGCCAGAGCTATAATTGTGTGGCGCATTTTCATCTATTTGCAAATTAGCCACTAAGCAGTCGAACGAGCTGCCAAACACATTTTCCCATCCCAGCCCATCCAGCAACCAATTTTCCTCTCTGGCTGAAAGCCAAGTTGGCCGGAAATGGCATTGTGTGCCAGTGTTGACGGAAACGGATGCTGCTTCCTCGAGTTCCCGCCCCTTTTCTTCTTCGCTCTTCTTGTCTTGGCCAAATGAAGTTTACCTTTTGTTCATTGTGTTTGCCAGCTTTCAATATGCGTCACTATACTGCCAGTGGGTGGCCCCATAAATACTACTGCACTGGGAGAAAGTTGTTTACAATTTGTAGTTTACGAATTTATTTCTTAGAATTTATTTATTTATTTTTTTAAAACACTATTGAAAAATTGAAGTTGAAAATACACAATTTCTTATTTATAAAAGGGTTAGTAATATTTCGAAATAAATATAGATATCAATGGGGACCATTAAATATATTTTTATACCCGTTACTCGTACAGTAAAAGGGAATTTTAGATTCAAGAAAAAAAAATAAAAAAGTAGAAGGAAAGGTTTCCCACCCCTTAAAAATATTTATTTTTTTTATGGGGAAACAACCCGACCAAGCCATCCCCCTCTCTCCCTCTCTCTTTTTTTTTTTTTTTCTTTCTCCCTCTCTCTCTCCCCCTCTTTTTTTTTTTGAAAGCCCGGGGGTCTAAAAAAAAAAAAAAAAAAAAATTAAAATTTTTATAAAAAAATTTAGATTCCTCCCCACACAAAATTTTTTTTTAAAAGGGGCCCCCCCCCCCCCCCCCCCCCCCCAACAAAAATATTTAAAATTAAAAAATTTTAAAAAATTAAAAAAAAAAAAAATAATTTTTTTTTTATAAAAAAAAAAAAAAAAAAAAAAAAAAAAAAAAAAAAAAAAAAAAAAAAAAAATAAAATAGAAAAAAAAATTTTTAATTTCTTTCCCCCTCCCCTCCCCTATTAAAAGGAAAAAAAAATTTTAAAAACGGCCACCCACAATTTAAATATTTATATATATAATAAAAATGTTAATCAAATAATTTCCAGTTCTGTTATTCTCCACACTACAATAATCTTAGCACCAACTGACAGAATTATGAGTTATCGATTTTGTCACATTATAATGATAAACACACCATAAAAAATAACTGTATAGTTTCTGTTTCTTTTATTGTTTTCCGTGCAGATAGAGCAATGTCACTCGCTTTCAGCCAGGAGTCGAAGTGGCCATTGTGCCCGTTTAACGACCATCGGTTTGTGGGTGGTGCTGGAGGTGGAAACAGGAGCAGGAACCGAAGGAGGTAGGAGCAGCCTTTGTGGCCTCTACTCTTTGGCCGTACTTACTTAATTTTGTCGCTTCGACTGGGCCACAATCGAATCAGCCACGAAGGCAGCCAAGCGGACAGCCCGTCAACTTCCGGTGCCAGCTGCTGCCACAAAACTTTTATGACACTGCCCGAAGGGCGGCGGCCAATGAAGAGCTATGTTCTCTGGCCCGGCGAGCAATTAAAAGCCTTCAACGTGGCCATTCTCCTTGGCAGGACATTAAATTAGTCCTGCCCGGCGAAATTGAATGTGCTTTCGGATTGTCGGGGAATTTTTAATAAAGTTTGTGCAAGCTAATCGCGTATTCATGGACCCAACTTGGCCCGTGGCGAACATTAAAAATGAAAAATGAAGGCCAAGTTATCCCCCGAAAATCTTCTGCTCCCTTGACAAAGTAGCCCGCTCAATTGTAGGCCATTAATTTCATAATCTGCCTGTAAATGGCAACCCAAGGCGAATGGTTGGATGTTGGGGAATGGGCACCTCATTAGGCTCTTTGGGTCAGCTTTGATTGAGCGACAAACACCTAGGGGTGAATTTTTGGGAAATACCAACCACTTATTTCGGGGGCTCTTGCATTTCGTATGGTCCACTTTTTGTCTCAACTCCAAGTGATTTATTATGATTTCGGCTTTGAGTAAGAGCTTGCCATTTGCGATTAGACCATTATCAATCGATGTAGGGGTCCAACATATTCCGCCCACCGAAGCTGATGAGGGTGCGGAATTTATGCAGATTTTTTAGGTCTCGGTGATTTAATATTTTAGAGATTACAGAATGTCATGTCATTAAAATGGGGAAAGCTAAGTCATGACCCTATTTTTTGACCAGCATTTATAAATAATTTTATAAGAATTTTATTGGTTTTAAATTGTGTATACTTTTAAAGAGTTTAAGTAGATTTTAAATAATTTCCTAATTGTAATAATACTGGTAGTAATGTTCCTTTAAAATTACCATAGAAAATTCCAATGATTTAAAATTCCCTGTAAAATCCAGGCTTCCAACTTCCGTTAAAGAACCAGCCCGAAATTTTAGTTTTCCTGAAAATGACTTTGTACTGCAGTTGCATACTTTACGGCGCCCCCTGACCTAAACACCCAAACCCACCCACCTAAAAGGTGGCTTACCTTTAATTTGCTTGCACCTGGTTCTCTCGTGGGAGAAATTAATTTCACGCATGTGAGACTATACACACACACGTGCACTCGCTGACAGACACAAACACACACATACACACAGTCTCACGGAAAGTCTCATTTGAGTTGAATTTGCATAACTGCAGCGTTAGTGCAATTTTCTCGGGAAATGGAAAACTGCGAATCGCATTTACAATTCGCCACTGCAGTTAGCTGGAATTGTGTTCCACAGCTCAAACTGCATGTCGCAACCATAACTATAAGGTCATGTTATAAACCAGAACAAATAAATGTTAAAAACCTAATCAGCTAAAAAATAAAATAAAATATATCTAATAAAACCGAATTTTCACAACAGCCAAGAGTGAAAACTCATCAGAGGGTAAATTTTTATGTTTCTTCCCTACGGAAATTTCATCAACGTTTGTTTACTTGTTTGCTTGATGGCGTTTTTGGCTTTATAATAGCCCTGGCCAGAAACTACTCAGCATGCAAATTGAATCAATTAAGTGGGACAAATATTTGCCAGCGCTGACCAAGATGATGGCAGCATTTAAGTTTTATGCTGCTTGTAACTCATAATTCCAGGGAACGTGCCTTCAAGGCCAATTAACTCCTAACGACCTCCACTATTTATGGGCCAAAACTCTCGCTCTCTCTAGTTTTTGAGTGGGAACCTTTTAACAGAGCAGCCAAAATGTCCTGAAAGCACGCAAAGCGATGGGAAATTGGTCACCGGAATGAAGGTCGATTTATGTCCGGGTCAGAAAGAGCTTACCATTATATGGGTCCCACATGCGTGACACAAAGTGAGGCTATTGGCCAATGTGGAGACATTTGTAGTGGGGCTTATGGCCATTCCCTCTGTTGGCTAAGTGTTTAAGCATTTTTCCTGTTTTAAGCTTTTCAATCAATGAAATTCTGGGTAGCCCCAGCCAATTTAAATATTTTTTGCAGCGCCAATTTTGGCTATTAAATCGTGTAATCCTGTAACACGTGAGCATGAGCTATATATAAAATTTATGGCGACAGGAAGTCTGAATGTGAAGCCACAAATGCGGATCGATTTAATTACCAAGGGGATGACAGCAATCAGCTCTATCGAAATGATTTTATTTGAGAAATGGTTTTAATAGCCTTCGATTTTTGTTTTTATATTTAACTTTTGGAATCAGAAGAGTTCTGAAAACATTCAAAAAGGCGACCAAAGGTATGCAATAGTATATTGTAGTCCATTTAAAGAGGGCCTTCTTTTTGGTACAGCTTACTTTTAGACACATTTTAAAGTGATTTCGAAACTCCAGTGATTTATATAAAATTTTAATAAACTCAAACCTGT